AGTCGAGAGACCGGTATCACTAACTTGTGTTTGTTTCTAGTGTTTACAGAGTGTATATAACATTTTTTTACTAAAACTATCTTTGTTTCTTTGAACATACATTAAATTTTGTTTGAATTATTCTTTATAATAAAAGTGAGATGTTGCAGGTAGTCTCTAATAAATCCAAAGTATAATGTTGTAAAAGTAAAGAGAGACTACCCTCGTTATAATAATCGCAATATCATGTATGATATCAACAATGCAATAAAGCAGTTTTAGCTTACAAGTCGTTTTACTTAAACTATAACATATTACTTACGACTAAAAGCGGAAATTCGGTTACACTAAGATTTATCTGGCTACAGTTAGGTGCAGCCGATTGTGGTTGGTTTTCGGGTGTATTCGATTTATGACTCGATTTAAAGAATTCGAATTAAATATTTGGAGTTTTCGGATGACAATCCACCTAGAATTGTCATCATGACTTAATTTAGTTGTGGCCGGTTGCTTTCGAGTACAATTATGTATTTTTGTGATTTGCATTAATACTTGTATTAGTGCTTTAACGGTGGTAGAGCCACGCAGCAGTTTTTGCTGTTGCACGTATGGGCCGGCTCGAGCCGGGTTGGTACCACGACCTCACAGAATACCGGCGTGAAGTAGAGGCTCTACTTCTGCGTTTCGTCTGGTGAGTGCAGGTGACCGGAGGCCCAATTCCCCCCCCCCCCCCCCATCAACATGGTAGCGGAATTACACAATAGACTACCCCAGGAGGGTACCAGTACCCCTGGAGAATCCCTCGTTGACCATCCACGACCATGTTATTCCAATCCTGAGCGTAGGTGCTCAGGCTTCCCCGCGTATTCTGGGGGGGGGGGGGGGGGGGGGCAAAATTCCGCTCAAAAACAAAGGCGACCCCTGCCACGCTATCCGTGAATTTCTGCAACATCAGGGGACTTCACTCTAACCTAAACGCCGTCCACTACCATCTCGAGACGGCGAAGCCGGCCTTGCTCTTTCTGACCGAGACGCAGGTTTCCTCTCCGGCTGATATTTCTTATCTCTCCTACCCGGGGTACAAATTGGAGCACTCCTTTGTGCCTCGGGCTGGAGTTTGCGTGTATGTCAGAGAGGACATCTGTTCTCGACGCCTCGACAGTCTTGAAGGTTCGGACCTGTCCATCCTATGGCTACGCATAGACAGCGACGACCATCCGCGCGTCTACGGGTGCCTTTATAGGTCCCATAGCGGTAATGCCGAAACAGACCGACTCATCGACCACGTCCAAATGGCTACAGATTCCTTGCTACAACAGGTCCCATCCGCAGAGATCGTGAGCCTTGGCGATTTTAACGCCCACCATGCCGAATGGCTCGGTTCACGTTTAACCGATCATGCGGGGAGATCTGTTTATGACTTTGCCTTGGCATATGGTCTGACACAACTGGTTACTTCGCCTACGCGGGTTCCAGATGTGGAGGATCATACACCTTCCCTGTTGGACCTTCTGCTGACCTCTCATCCGGACGGATATCAGGTTTCTGTCGATGCCCCTCTCGGCTCTTCGGACCATTGTCTGATCCGGAGTGTGGTGCCACTCACGCTCCCTTTGCGGTTGCGTTCTGTAGGTTGCCGCCGTGTTTGGCATTACAGGTCGGCGGATTGGGACGGAATGCGGTCTTTCTTTGCATCCTACCCATGGGGGCGGGTTTGCTTCTCGCCGGATGATCCCAGCGCTGTTGCTGACTCTGTCACTGATGTGGTGCTACAGGGAATGGAACTATTTATTCCATCATCTGTGGTACCCATCGGAGGCAGATCTCAGCCTTGGTTTGGTCGCTCCTGTAAGACTGCATTACGCAGTAAGCAGGAGTGTTATCAAGCCTGGGCTGCGGCTTTGGGGGCTCGGGATGTAAACACTAGCACACTTAAAAAGAAGTATAACTTCGCCTCCAGGTCCCTCAAAAGAGTTATTGCCAAGGCAAAGTCAGAGCACATAGGCAGAATTGGCGAGAAACTAGTTCGCCTTCCTTCGGGAACCCGTGCATTCTGGTCTCTCGCCAAGGCTGTCCAAGGGAATTTCTGTAAGCCATCACTACCATCTCTGCACAGGGAGGATGACTCACTGGCTCACGCTGCAAAAGAGAAAGCCGACCTTTTAGGCTCCCTTTTTGCGTCCAACTCGACTCTCGATGACGGGGGGAAAACACCGCCGACCATCCCGCGGTGTGAGTGCTCCATGCCGGATGTGCTGTTTTCACAGCGCTCGGTTCGCAAAGCACTTATCTCCCTGGACATCCAGAAGTCGAGTGGGCCTGACGGAATCCCCCCAATTGTGCTGAGGACGTGTGCTCCGGAGTTGACACCGGTCCTAACGCGTCTTTTCCGGTACTCTTACTCCCAAGGCGTAGTCCCGAATTCATGGAAGACAGCTTTTGTCCACCCGATCCCTAAAAAAGGCGACCGCTCAGACCCGTCCAACTATAGGCCTATCGCGATCACCTCCTTGTTCTCCAAAATAATGGAATCCATTATTAACTGCCAGCTCATCCGGTACCTTGAGGATCACCAGCTGATTAGTGACCGCCAATACGGTTTTCGTCGGGGTCGATCGGCTGGTGATCTTCTGGTCTATCTGATCCATAAATGGGCGGAGGCAGTAGAGTCTAAGGGGGAGGCGTTGGCCTTAGTCTGGACATTGCGAAGGCCTTTGATCGGGTTTGGCACATAGCGCTTCTTTCGAAGCTTCCTTCTTATGGGCTTCCCGAGAAATTGTGCAATTGGATCACCAGCTTCCTTGCAGATCGGAGCATCAAGGTCGTTGTAGACGGTGCATGTTCTGACTACAAGCCTATTAACGCTGGTGTTCCACAAGGCTGTGTGCTATCATCAACGCTGTTTCTTCTGCATATCAATGATATGTTGCTAACTGGTAACATTCATTGTTATGCGAATGACAGCACTGGTGATGCTCTATACACCGGCCGTGCCAATATTTCTCGGGAAAACGTCGCCGAGTACCGGAACAAACTTGTGTCTGAAGTCGAGTCTTTGCTGAACAAAGTCTCGGATTGAGGGCGACTAAATCTAGTCCAGTTTAATCCTCAGAAGACACAAGTTTGCGCGTTTACCGCTAAAAAGAACCCCTTTGTCGTATCTCCTCAGTTTCAAGGCACTCCCCTTCTTGCCTCAGCCAGTATCGGTATCCTCGGAGTCGACATATCGAGTGACGTGCAGTTTCGTGGTCACTTGGAAGAGAAGGCCAAATTGGCCTCTAAAAAGCTTGGCGTGCTCAGCAGAGCGGGACTGTATTTCATGCCGGCACACCGCCTGCAACTTTACAAGGCGCAGGTTCGGCCTCACATGGAATACTGTTCCCATCTCTGGGCAGGGGCTCCCCAGTGCCAGCTCCTTCCACTTGACCGCATCCAGCGCAGAGCGCCTCGAATCGTCGACGACCGAGCCCTTTCCGATCGGCTCGATTCATTGGCACTGCGAAGAGATGTTGCATCCCTTTGCATTTTCTTTCGCATTTTCTACCATGGGGAGTGCTCTGAGGAATTGTTCGGATTAATCCCAGCCGCCAAATTTCACGAACGCACATCGCGGCAGAACTCCCGATACCATCCACACCATCTGGATGATTGGCGGTCCACCACTGTGCGATTTAGAAGATGTTTTCTTCCTCGCACGACTTCCTTGTGGAATCGATTACCATCAGCGATTTTTCCGGATCGATATGCCGCCTTAGGGACCTTCAAGAAAAGAGCGTACTCCTTTTTAAAAGGCCGGCAACGCATCTGCAATTCCCTCCCTGGTGTTGCAGTTGTTCATGGGCGGCGGTAGTCACTTACGATCAGGTGAGCCGCATGCTCATTTGCCCCCTCTCCTATAAAAAAAAAATAGTTACATAATATTTATTTTAAATTATTAATATACTAACAATAAAAACCGACCGGTTTCGCCTCACGGCATTATTAGGATATAAGCTAGTTATTTTAGTTCAAATAATTATTAAATTAACCGTGTAGTGGCGGTGTAAGAATATCGACTGCACCATATCGTCCCGTGGGTGTCGTAAGAGGCGACAGAGGGAAACTGATACGGGAGATGGACAGCAAGTTTCTTTTCACTTAAAACTACGGTAGCCAGCTCACCTTCGAAGCATTGCAACTATGGTAAAATCCACCCTATGAGGCAATATAAGGGAGAAAAGGCCTACGTTCAGCAGTGGACTTGTAAAGGCTGTAATGGAATAATTAAAATTATTAAATAGCTATGACTTCCATCAACTTAGTAAAAAATATGAAAGCACCTATCAAATAATATAAGGGAAATTAAGTGAATATTAATCATAATCTTATTTATTGAATTATTCGGCCAAATCCTATATACATATATATATATATATATATATATATATATATATATATATAACCACGGACACGACGGAGGGACACAAACCAGGAGATAGTCAGCGGCGTCTTCCTAATATCAACCAAAAAAAAAACCGCGGTTGCTAAACCACCTGCATGGCAACTATCCACTCTATTGCTTGGGCCACACTAACGAAAAATACCGTTAATTATCTCGTTGATGGACATTGAATGTAGGTCTGGCCACGACTTAACGGGTTAATTTGACAACGGCATTAACAATGCCGTTAGGCGTTTGGCGATAACTCGAGTGGTGGTACATCAAAGAGATTAACGCACGAAATAACGCGTTAAAGCGGCCACACTACATTTGTCTCATTGTGCCCGGTGAGCGCAACGGGGTCGCACGTATGGCTATGATGGAGTGGAATAATGAAAAAATTATTACGTTTCTTGAGATTCTGCAAACTGAGCCGTGTTTGTGGGATCCGAGACTCACAAGTTTTAAGAATTGTACATCGCAAAATTATGCTTGCAATAATTACCTTTTAAAACAACTATCTAAGAAATTAAAAAGAAGAACGAAAGCTAAATGGGTTATTATACAAATAATAAAATTTACACTCATCAAATATAGAGTATTAGTGGGAGCGAGACCAAGGTTTTCCTCCGAAATGTAATTTCATATGCCTGTGCAAATTACCTTTTGTAATACATTTATATTTACAGATATTACACGAAAAAGGTTTTTCTCCGGTATGTAATTTCATATGCCTCTGCAAATTACATTTTGTAATACATTTATATTCACAGATATCACACGAAAAAGGTTTTTCTCCGGTATGAATTTTTATATGTGTTTGCAATTTACCTTTTGTAATACATCTATATTCACAGATATGACACGAAAAAGGTTTTTCTCCGGTATGTCTTTTCATGTGTATACTCAAATGACTTTTTCGTATACATTTATATTCACAGATATGACACGAATAAGGTTTTTCTCCTGTATGTAATTTCATATGTGTTTGCAAATTAATTTTTTGAATACATTTATATTCACAGATATTACACGAAAAAGGTTTTTCTCCGTTATGTAACTTCATATGTGTTTGCAATCGACCTTTTGTAATGCACTTATATTCACAGATATTACATGAAAAAGATTTTTCTCCGGTATGTAATTTCATATGTGTTTGCAAGTGACTTTTTTGAATACTTTTATATTCACAGATATTACACGAAAAAGGTTTTTCTCCCTTATGTAATTTCATATGTATTTGCAAATTACTTTTTGTAATACATTTATATTCACAGATATTACACGAAAAAGGTTTTTCACCGGTATGTATTTTCATATGTGTTTGCAAACGAATTTTGTTAATAGATCTATATTCACAGATATTACAGGAAAAAGGTTTTTCTCCGGTATGTCTTCTTATGTGTGTTCTCAAATCACTTTTTCGTATACATTTATATTCACAGATATGACACAAATAAGGTTTTTCCCCAGTATGTATTTTCATATGTGTTTGCAAATGACTTTTTTGAGTACATTTATATTCACAGATATTACATGAATAAGGTTTTTCCCCAGTATGTATTTTCATATGCGTTTGCAAATGACTTTTTTGAGTACATTTATATTCACAGATATTACACGAATAAGGTTTCTCTCCGGTATGTATTTTCATATGTGTTTGCAATTTACCTTTTGTAATACATCTATATTCACAGATATTACACGAAAAAGGTTTTCCTCCGGTATGTATTTTCGTATGTGTTTGAAAATTATTTTTTTGAATACATTTATATTCACAGATATTACAAGAAAAAGGTTTTTCTCCAGTATGTGATTTCATATGCGTTTGCAATCGACCTTTTGTAATACATTTACATTCACAGATATAACACAAAAAAGGTTTTTCTCCAGAATGTAATTTCATATGCCTGTGCAAATTACCTTTTGTAATACATTTATATTCACAGATATTACACGAAAAAGGTTTTTCTCCGGTATGTAATTTCATATGCCTGTGTAAATTATATTTTGTAATACATTTATATTCACAGATATTACACGAAAAAGATTTTTCTCCGGTATGTAATTTCATATGCCTTTGCCAATAACTTTTTGTCATACATTTATATTCACAAATATTACAACAGTACACTAGTTTAGCGACGTGCGCTTTAAGATGTGCCAAAATGCAACGTTTTTGAGATGTTTTAAATTCGCAAATATCACAGTTAAATAAATCCGTTAGTTGTGGTACTGGAGTTTGTTTAACTTGTGTCCGAACTGCAGTGGTGTCTGAGTTATTTTGCGTCTTATGACTATGTACAATGTGTTTGGCGAGAATATCTTTTGTTAAAAATTTTTTGCTACAATCATCACATTCAAAAATGTATTTTATTGATGCCCCTGATGTATTTTTCGTGAGTATACTTACAGTCTTTTGTTTCAAAAATTTCTTTTTCATAACCTTTGCAGGATGCTTTCCTTTTTTATTAATTGGTTGATTATCTTTTTTCACTCTAGGATTTGATTTAATAGTAGGGCTTTCTAAATCGAGGTTTTCTTTACGTACATCGTTTATTTTTCTATCAGTAGAATTTGATATCTTTTTCTCAGACGGTTCTGAAAAATTTGTCGGCTTGATGCATTGTTCTGAAATAAACACGAATTAAACATTTTATTTATTGTAATACACCATAAACGATTTACAATGGTCGGAACTCGGAACAATGCCATAAGGCTTATTGTTTATTAACCCCGGGAAAAATAGAGAAATTATAATATTTTACATAATTATACAAAATAATGTTGCTAGATAATAATGCCTCTCATATTAATTTTTGGAGGGAAAGAATGGTAGAGAAACTAAATTTATATGATAATGATGAAGTTCATCTGACCATGTTATAATTACCTTAATCTAACTATCGCTGTTTCGAATTCCACACAGAACTAATAAGAATATGTAGTCGAAGTTGCCGTTAAGCGCGGCGTAAAAGAATTTATCATCATTTTTGGTCCCGTGGGTCTCGTAAGAGGCGACTATAGGTTTGCCAGAAAAATTTTATGACTTACGACAGATGGCAGTATAACCACCTCGTTAACTTAACCCATTCGTTGCGGTGCACGCACAACAGCGTAAATTATATTTTGGCTATAACTTGGCACATTTCTATTCTAAAGGGATATACGTTTTATATGTGCATGTTTTTAATACATAGAACATTATTACAGTCGCCGTCTCTGTAAATAGTGATTTTAGAAAAATAACAAGACTCTCCTCAGGCGCGGAAAAAGCCGAACAGCGTCTTTCAGAGGTTATCAACATTGAAAACATTTTTATTAAATATTTATTTTAGCTATTTTATTTTAAGGAATTCAAAAACAGTTATAGGTGCATACTATGAGCAATATTGATTTCATAGTTGATAGTTAAACATTTTGCTGCGTTAATATGATTATTATTTGTCACCAGTATTCAGTAGTCCATCAGTGATTGTCGCAGAATGGTGTTACGACGTGTAAGTAGGAACTAGATACGTGGCTGTATATGAAATAAAAAGGAACACTTAAAAAGAAGGACATATATTGAAACAAGAAAGAAAGTAATCAGTGTTAATCTGCTTGTTACAATTAAGTAATATAATTGGTAAAATAATATATACATAAATCAGTATCTGATATATCTACGAAAACATGTAAGACATAGACCCGGTTTCCTTGAGCAATCTGGAAAACAATAGATTGTATCCACCCTTTTTTTATTCATCTTACAAAATTAACATTTAAATTAATATTCTCCGAAAAACTGTTTAATTTACACAATTTCATTATTTGAAAAAATGACTGATTTGTTTTGTAGTAACATAATTGTTTTTTATCAGTATTAAATTTTAAAACAAATCTTTTGCTGTATCTTTTTTATACGTACCGTATGAACCTTAACTTAAATACATATGAATCGATTGACCATAATAAACATTTAAACAGCTTGGTCCTAATCTTTTTAACTTCTGAAACGATTTTGATGAAAAATGCTTATTGTTCCTTTAGTTTTTAAAGGTTCATCATACATAGGCAAGATTAGCCCGAGACACGGCGGTGACACTCTCCGTACGTGAGAGTACAAGCGCTAGTGACATTTAAGCCGGAGCGTGTAACGCTAGGGTGAATAAGGAACCAATTTGGAATATTATAGACTTTTTTCATCCGAAAAAATTATTTCCCGATATTTTTTCCCGCGTACCGCTTCAACAAAGCGCGGCATCTCTTCAGTCTCAGGTCCATTAGACAAGCATTCAAACGATGTCCTGTTTTTCTTTGATATGCCCGAAGCCCTAAGTCTTCATTTAAAACCCTTTTCACCGTGGTTCTGCTTAACCCCATCTGAAGGGCCAACAGTTTCTGCTTACGTTTAGGATTTCTTTGAATTCGCGCCTTCACAGCTTTTATCACTGCTGGAGTCCTAACAGACCGAGGGCGACCACTTCTTGACCTGTCATCTACACTAGAGTCTTCATTGTATCGTTTCATGGTACGATAAACGAATCTTTTGGTTATATTCAAATTTTTCAGTATGTCAAAAATTTGAATTATCGCGTAACCGCAACGATGCAACGCAATAACTGCAACACGGTCTTCTTTAAGCGTCCACTCCATATTTAAAAATGAGTAAAATTCTAAAAAGTATACAGTTTTATTTTCATGAACAATTCGAAATTCGAATTCAATAAACTGTGGCCAGCATTCTACAAGAAAAGTTTTTACTGTGTGACAACACTTATGACCTAACTAGGTATATTTTTGGCTTTTTCAATGACTTTTATAATTTTTATTATTATTTCTAACAATTGCAAAAATTCGTAGCCGTATGTATAATTTTTTTAGAAAATCCATAGGGAAGCATAGATAGCTAGATAGATAGATAACACTATTGTACGCCAAAAATTAACATAAATATTAACAAAAAATGAGAAAAAGAAATGTGGTACAATGGGTGGTCTTATCGCTAACAGCGATCTCTTTCAGACAACTTTGGATGGACAGGATTGCAAGAAAACAATAAAAACGTGTGTGATTTGGCGACAAAAATAACATTATTTTTATTAAATCCATAAAATAGAAATATAGAAATAAAGAAATACAGAGATAAGATAAATACATACATACATATTAATATATAATAATTTGTTTGTTGTTTAATAACGCTAATCTGAATCATCAATAAAACACATTACATAATTTTGTTACAATTTTTATTTATAAAATACAAAATCTTATTACTTATTATCTATAAAATAGGAGCGAAACATCTCATCCACTAAAATATCGTTGTACAATGTGTTCCTTGTAAATATACTCGTAAAACTATGTATTGAACATCCCTGAAACTTATATAGCAAATACATTAAGCAATATTCGCCACAAACTGAAGTCCACTCATTCTGAATCCTATCAACATTCCAGTTCCATCTTTTACAATTCCTTTTTAAAAACTCTAGATGATATCGTACAGGTGATCGTCCATATGAATCAAAATATTGACCGACGTCATTCGTATCGATATATAAAGCTACCCAATGTGACCCTGGTTTATCATCTGTATCCAAATTGCATATTATATACGTTGGTACGTGGGTATACATAGGTAGTCTATTAGCTGCATAAACATTATTTTCTAGACTGGGGTGAATCTTTTTCAGATGTTGTTGTACATCTAGTGTATCCATGATATTACTGCTATTAGTAGATTATTACAGTACCAATCTACTCAATGAATAACATAGGAATGGTCAATTATAGTGATTTCTAAATATTAAATTGCATTTTTGTGTTATACAAATCGTACTTGAGTCATTGATCACCAAACAAAACACAATACGAAGAAATGTTGAGATACGCAACGGAAATGTGAGATAAACTGGTTGACGCATAAAGTAATTATCAACTCATTACGGAAATACTTTAGATTAGAATTTTTACGTACTGGTGGTATATAAGACCAACAGACGCAGTCATCGAGTTAGTGTATAGTCGTTTGACTGCAGTGGATCTATCAATAGTACATTTGTGTTACTTCAATGCACCAAAGGCTATGGATGTAAGTGTTTATTCTATTGACTAAATTACTTTTTTTCTGTTATTTTCATGCGTGTGTATTATTTTATTTAAATATTGTGTATGTATATGATTAAGCCGTGGTAACTCAGATGGTTAGCGCTAGCTGTAAATTTCACAGTACGCGACCCGGGTTCGATCCCCGCCAGCACCAATTAAATTGTTAATCGCAATTTTAAGTGCTTATTACCACGTGTTTGGTGGTGAAGGAAAACATCGTGAGGAAACCTACATGTCTGAGAAAATTTCGAAGGCATGTGAAGTTCGCCAACACACATTGAGGCAGCGCGGCGGACATTTCCTTGCCCTAAAACCCTCTCAGAAATGAGAGGAGGCCTATGTTCAGCAGTGGACTTTAATAGGCTGTAACTTTAACTTTTTTAACTTTTATGATTAAGTGTTAACAAATTGATATTAACATGATAACTGTGTTGTTGCAGAAATCATTGAGTTTCGATGAAAATACCTATAAACAGTATTACTACTCGCCACTCTCCCCTCAAGAAGAGAGTGATGACCTCGTCATTAATAATAACACATGCGATGGTGGAAAAAGAAAATCGCAATCGATTGATCATTTTTTTGAAGCTGAATAAAAAATAAAAAAGAGGAAGCTGTTATCATCAACCGTAGCACGAGCCGCTAGAGATGGTGTATCATACATTTCTACTAATTCTGACGACGGAGACCAAGCGACGCATCTCATCAAAATTGAAATGTACGATATGAAGAAGCTATCCAAGATTCCAACTACTGATCATTGGAAACATGCTTCCACGAGAATTAAATATTACGTAAAGACTAATAAGGATAGCATCTACGACAACACAAACGCCCTCGTATACAATATTTACTTCAATTATAGGAAGACAAGAGCGGAAGGAAGAGATGAGTGTGGCATACGTGTACAAAACACATCATTGAATAACAAAACTACAACACTGAGTGGAGAAGAAAACGAGAAGAGTATGCAGTACTCAAGAGCTGAATATCCATTCTTCAGTTCAAAATCTAGCCGTTTGCTTAGTTTCGAAAACTGGCCTCTCGTTATGCGACAGAAACCTGAAGATCTTGCAGAAGCTGGTTTCTTTTATACTGGTCATGCAGACGGGACCAAGTGTTTCCATTGTGGTGGTGGTTTAAAAGATTGGGAAGATGATGATGATCCTTGGCAGCAGCATGTTCAGTGGTTTAGTCAGTGTGCTTATGTAAAATTTCAACTCGAACAGTGTTTTGTATTAGATTAAATAGAAGATTTATAAAGAAATAAAAAAAATATATATTGCATACAATTTGTTTTATTTAATTTTATAACGTTTCACATAGTTACATACACACAAAATGCATTACACATAACACATAAAATCTAACACACAACACATATTATAACCTTAACTACTATAGTCTACAGTAACATTTCTGTTTTTATCTATCTCAATAATATTATCAAACTCAGCATAAACTATACAGTTAATTGTTTGTATTAATGAGGATTCAAATCGTACTTCTATTCTTACACTACCATGCTTTATGAGATTCCAATGAGTTGATGAGTTAGCTGATAAATCAGGAGTTAAGTCAAATGCTAATAGACAGTAACCTTTGCCATACTGTTCACAAGAGATTCCATTTCCTTCATTAAGAAAGTGAATACCAGTTCCCGAGAATAGAGTATGATATGCTGATGTAAATATGCTATTATTAAAAGATGGTTGCAAAGCTTTTGAAGGTATTTGTTGACCATCAATATATAAGCTGAAAGAATTAATACCATAGTTTTCAAAGTTAAATGGATTTTTAGTAAGGGAACCATTAAATGCAGAATTGTTCACAAATCCAATTATACATCTTTTCGGTACCTGTCCTAAAAATATATTATCAAGAGTTTTTCCTTGAACACCCGAAGGAATTGTTAAAACTTTTACTTCAGCTCGAGTAATAGGATATTTAGCAGTGGTAGAAGCTAAAACTTTTTGATGTGCGAGTAATACACTTGGATTAATTCGTGCTCGTCGAACAATAAGAGTTGCGTCCGTAATGCAAACTTTAAACTTTACATCGTTTGACCCAACAATTAAATTAAAACTCTCTCTTGATCGAACCAATTTAACACTCATTTCAACACCATTAATTAAAAATTTATCTTGGTTAAAAATGTCACCGTGAAGATGACCAATCATTTCTGTTTCCTTACTTTCACTAATCAATTCCTGTCTTTTAACAAATCCTATGTTTTTACCATCTGTAGAATCCATTTTTCCTGCTGTATCCTCATACCAAAGACTACAAGTAAGATGAGATTGTTTAGCAGCAGGGGCATAGTTTAAAAGGGTTTCCATGTATGCTCGATATGCATAGGTATTATTAGGTGGTGATACAAGTTTTTGGTTTAAATAAACATCAAGTTGACTAAAAAGTGAATGCAGCCAATTATTTACAGGTGCTACTATTGTAGTAGATACCAAGTTAGTTGAATCTTGATTTAATACTTTTGCCTTTATGTGGAGTAATGTATGAGACAAATCTATGTAGTCATCGCCGGTCCCAGGAACTTGAAACTCGATAGGTCCATCATCATCAAGAGATGAAATTGGTTTATAATGAATCCACAATCCATTTTCAATGCTAGTTTGTGTAGACGGTAGTGCAAACAAATCCAATTCTGACTTAACGCACTCGCAAGAATGATTATGAAGGAAAGACATATTTAGTTTGAAAATATATCTTTGATATTTTTTGGTTTTAGACAAAGTTTTTTCGCAGCTTTCACTTTAGCAGTTAATGGTGGAATGAACGATGTCAATCGTTTTCTTTTAGTTTTATACCCAGATCCAGTCATGTTAAATTGATAAATTTTCTCATCAGCCTTTCGTTTTAAATTCGTACTAACTTGCTTTAGACAATCTTTTATTGAGGCTTCCATAGGACGGGCTTGAACCATATCCGATAAAAGTCCTACTCCAGCGCTTAATGCCTCCTTACCAATCACTCGAGCACCACTTGAAAGTAAAGGTAAAACTGATCTGAATAACCCCCCTAAGAAGCTCCCAATACCATGACCGCGTTGATATGGTGAACCCTTATAAATTACTCCAACTCCTGATCCAGCTTGATGTGTATAATAATTTTCATATGGACATTTATGATGATCACGAAGAGAATTCATTATTATAATTTTCGGAAATGTAGTTTAATACACACGGTTCCAAACTGGAATGGTATTTTTTGTCCTGTACTCGATCTTATAACTATTTCCAGCGTATCGAATTCTCTTCGCATAACAGGTAAGTAGTGAGGTTGAGAGAAAACGTGCATTTTATTTGCACCATAAATGTATTTTGTAGGATCTAATGAAATGACTCTTAATAAAGGAGTCATAACATCACCCCAATCTGAGGATCGATAATGTCGCAATATAGAAATAGTTGAGATGGTAACCCTAAGTGTAAATTAGCAGGACACTTTCCAAAATTTCTCTCTAGGAGATTTTTATTTGGTTCATAACCTAGCTGTAAACTTAATTTGGGTGATAATGTTACGGATGTTATATTTTTATCCAATACCGAAATAGACACAAATTTTGTTATTTCATCATAGCGAAATTTCAAGTTCTCTCCGATACCATTTAACACTCTTAAAATATGCTCAACGTTATCATAGTTGGTAGCTGGAATATGTTTTTTGTAGTACACTGTGGATGGTTTATCTTCATTAGGCATTAACATAGATTTTGTAATGTATATAACATTTTCATGGTCTTGAACAGTAAACATGGTACATGGATATTGAAACTCGACAACTCCAACCGACCATTCACCTTCTAATTTTATAGCTTTTGGTAATTTCGTTGAAAAATTTGTGGTCTTGTTATCAGGAAAGTATTCCATTGAACTATTGCTGAGCAAAGTTAAATAGAAACTTTCTTTATTCATATTTCTTTTAAACTAGAAGCTAAAATCCAACTGTTAAATTTATCTGGATAACCTTTCCACTTCACTAATACTTCTTTTCTGTTACCTGAATAACGAGTGTCAATTATTTTATCTATTTTATGTTGTGAGGTGGGGTTGTAAGTGATTTTCTGTAATTCTCTTTCATAAAAAGTACCAATTATTGGTTCATTTTGTAAATCTGTTATTGTATAAACAACCCATGGAGATCTATCAATTATTGAAGATATAATAAATATTTCATCACTCCAATTTGATTCATATGCTTTTTGGAATACATGTTTATATTTAGTTATTCGAACATAATCACCCACATTGAAATTTGGTTTAGGATTTTCTAAAGAAAGTTTTTTTGACCGTCTATCATAAAGATTAGTCCAAACTGTCATAATATTGTTGGAATTTACATCACATGGGCACATCTTAATACTAGAGTGAAAGCTGTGATTATAAGAGTATATTAAATCTTGTAAAACATCTATATATCTATAAGTATTATTATGAGTGAAATAACGCCACATTTTCATTTTTAGTGTTCTTTGAAATCGTTCAACAATACTGGCCTTAATGTCAGGATTGTTGGTGGTATAGTAATTAATCTTTTTGGATTTAAAGTATTTTTGTACATCTTTTGAAACAAATTCGGTACCTTTATCGGATTGTATGTGAGTAGGTGTTAAATTACTTTCAGTAAATATACTTTCAAAACATTCTTTAGTTGTTTCTGAGTTTTTCTTTTTCATCGGTCTTGCAAAAGCATATTTACTAAATACATCAATAACACAAAGTATATACTTGAAACCATCATTATATTGAGAATAAGTTCGCATATCACTTAAATCAGCTTCCCACAGTTCATTAATATTTGATAGAATGTACCTATTACGCGGGAATTTTTTTCGAATGGGTTTATGTAATGTGTATGTTTCTTGTGATTTTAACCATTCCTTTACTTGCTTTTTATTCATTTTACCCTTCATGGCTTTTGATAATTTATCAATACTACCAAAACCAGCGGGATTAGATGGATCATAATAAATCCTGTTAATTTCTTCTAGTACGGGGTCCATTTTTCCCACTCAAGTCCTTTACGTATTTTAGTTGTAGACTTTTTATCTCTACTGCCCGGTGTAGAAAACTCTTGAACTTCAATCTCAGAGGGTTTGTTCAGATCTTTTGCTTGAAGTTGGTTAATAAACTCACATCTCCTTGGATTTCCAATATAAGTAAGTGGTACTTTAATATCTTTTAATGCTTCAGCAAATCTAACCCACCCTACCGGATCACTTCTTTTTAGGGGTCTTAGTGAATCATTTATTAAATCAACAATATTACTTCCAGGAATTTTTTCACTATCAATTATGACTGTACTTCATTATCCCAATGTATTTTACTTTTACTTGTTTCAACTAAGTTTAATAATAACTGCCCTTTTTTATGATAAGTTTTTGGTATTAAACTGAGTATTTGAGCTGGTGTGTAAAGTGGATTTTCATCATTTTCTTTACTTTTAATGGATCGATTCTCCTCCAACAAAGATTCAATATCAACTGAAGTTTTTAGATCTCTATCTTTATTTTTAAAACCAATTTTTGACTCATTTGAATCTTCATTAGATGTATCAGAATAAATTGGTAATTTGAGTGGTTGACGATCCTCTTCGATAAAATGAAGGTATCTTTGCAGTGTTTGTAAATATAATATCCATTTCTTTCGGTCTTCCGTCTTACTATTCATAATATTTTGCATTTCAATATCTAATCGAGATAAATTACTATTAACCTTATTTTCTTGGTTTAATTTTTCAATCAATCCAGGTTCGATAAGTATCATTTTCTTTGCATTTTCCATGTTAACTGGCTAGTCCACTCACTAATCCACTCAATATTGCACCTAATATTGTTGGTAAGAAAGCCCCTCCTTTTTGTATAATTATATTTTTTCTTAGTTTATGTTTACACTTACGTACTAGTTTACGGAGTATGTTTTTATGTTTATTCAATTTTTGTTTATCCTGATCTTTAAGAGGTACTTTTCCTTGTAAAACGTTATGAATACACTCACAAATACAGTTAATTTCTTCTTCATCACACGTTTTAAGTAATGCTCTTTGATATTTTGGTTTAAGCGTATGCAAAGCGGTTAGCAAATGTTTATACGTTGTGAGTCGACGATGCATCATTTAGCAATGATTTCAATTGTTTGATTCTTGGTGTATTTAAACTCTTTTGTGGGGACGTAGACTGTACAGAAACCATTAAATGGAAAGACATTTGTCTTGATACGACAAAAATCATTGGTATTCTGTTTTAAATCTACCATTAAATATCCATGCGCCTCTAGAGTTGCATCCCTGTAGGCACCTTCAATGAATTTTGGGTTATCTGGTGATACTTGTCTTGCTAAATATCTTATTTGAGTTTTATCTCGAGGGTTTTTAAAATATATTATATAACTTGAGTTTAAAGATATGTCTCTTTGTCCTTTACCCTGATGAAATAAATTTTGTGTTAGATAAAATACACTAAGATTCCTGTGATGACTACCTTTTGTAAATATATCCACAATTCTTCCATCGGACTCTCTCATTAGATCATCAATAATAACAAGATGTGGGTTTTCACCATCAAACATATTAAGATTTGGAATTCCTTGATGATAGTTAACATTTGGTAAATTATATAATGGTTGCATTTCATCAAAGCACCATGTGATCTGATTAAAATCACAATTACATATTTCTGTAACTGATTTTATGAAATTTGTTACAAAATTTGACTTCCCACACCCACTTGGTCCTGCCACAATAGCAGTGAACGGATGGATAAAGTGAAACATAACACACGTCTAAAGTTCAAAGGGGTGAAATAAAAAATGAAAGTGTTGGTGTAAACAATTAATATATATTCCAAAAATTATATAAAACAGAATTATCTGTATACTATTTCTAACACAATTAGTACAGCATAATTTTACAATTAACTCAACCTCAAATAAATAGAAACAACAATTAGTACATCATAATTTTACAATTAACTCATCCTCAAATAAATAGAAACAACAATTAACTTAAATTATTTACAATAAAACAATGATTAAATATGTAATAAACTACGTCATATTATAGTATTATCATAATTTTACGATCAATATAAATTTTTCTTAAACGCAGACATAAAAGTAAAAACTATCAACACTTAACGCAGTTTATAATGACCCCAAGCTAATGTTTCAATATTATTATCTAAAATATGTCTCTTTGTGTCATTATATGATAAACCTATCTTATTTAATTTTTGTGTGAAAATTGTGTGTTTAATTGATTTAAATCTAAGCATACTGTAATATTGCACTTTTTTATTAAATAGAGAAGACTTATAACTATTCATTGTCATCTTTTTAGTGATACATTTATTTACCCCTTTTGCCTTGGCTATAGTCTTTTTTTTTTATAGGAGAGGGGGCAAACGAGCATGCGGCTCACCTGATGGTAAGTGACTACCGCCGCCCATGAACAACCGCAACACCAGGGGAATTGCAGATGCGTTGCCGGCCTTTTAAAAAGGAGTAGGCTCTTTTCTTGAAGGTCCCTAAGTCGTATCGGTCCGGAAAAATCGCTGGTGGTAAACTATTCCACAAGGAAGTTGTGCGAGGAAGAAAACATCTTCTAAATCGCACAGTGGTGGACCGCCAATCATCCAGATGGTGTGGATGGTATCGGGAGTTCTGCCGCGATGTGCGTTCGTGAAATTTGG